ACCACAGAAATAAAAAGAATCATCAGAAATTACTACAAGGACTTGTATGCCATAAAACAGGGAAATCTATCAGAAATGGATAGATTCCTGGACACATGCAACCTACCTAAATTGAACCAGGAAGACATAGAAAACCTAAATAGACCCATAACCAAGAAAGAAATTGAAGTAGTAATAAAGGCCCTCCCAACAAAGAAAAGCCCAGGGCCAGATGGATTCCCTGCTGATTTCTACCAGACATTTAAAGAAGAACTAACTCCATTTCTTCTCAAACTATCCAGAACAATCGAAAAAGATGGAAGCCTCCCAAATTCTTTCTATGAAGCCAATTTCACCTTAATCCCTAAGCCAGAGAAAGATGCAGCATTGAAAGAAAATTACAGACCAATATCCCTGATGAACATAGATAAAAATATTCAATAAAATTCTCGCCAATAGAATGCCACAACACATCAGAAAGATCATCCACCCAGACCAAGTGGGATTTATCCTTGGTATGCAGGGATGGTTCAATGTGCACAAAACAATTAATGTGATACACCACATTAACAGACTGCAGAAGAAAAACCATAATATTATCTCAATAGACACAGAGAAAGCATTTGATAAAATACAGCACACTTTCATGATGAAAACTCTAAGCAAACTGGGTATAGAAGGAACATTCCTCAATACAATCAAAGAAATTTATGAAAAACCCATGGCCAACATCCTATTGAATGGGGAAATGTTGGAATCATTTCCACTGAGATCTGGTACCAGACAGGGATGCCCACTCTCACCACTGCTATTCAATATAGTACTGGAAGTTTTAGCCAGAGCCATTAAGCAAGAAAAAGAAATTAAAGGGATACAAATTGGGAAAGAAGAAGTCAAACTATCCTTCTTTGCAGATGATATGATTATTTAGGGGATCCAAAGAACTCTACTAAGAGACTATTGGAACTCATAGAAGAGTTCGGCAAAGTAGCAGGATATAAAATCAATGCACAAAAATCAACAGCCTTTGTATTCACAGGCAATGCCACGGCTGAGAAAGAACTGCTAAGATCAATCCCATTCACAATAGCCACAAAAACAATCAAACACCTTGGAATAAACTTAACCAAGGATGTTAATGATCTCTACGATGAGAATTACAAAACCTTAAAGAAAGAAATAGAAAAGAATACCAAAAAATGGAAAAATCTTCCATGCACATGGATTGGAAGAATCAATATCATCAAAATGTCCATTCTCCCAAAAGCAATTTATAGATTCAAGGCAATACCAATCAAAATACCAAAGACATTCTACTCAAACCTGGAAAAAATGATGCTGAAATTCCTATGGAGACACAGGAGACCTCGAATAGCTAAAGCAATCCTTTACAATAAAAACAAAGCCAGAGGCATCACAATACCAGATTTCAGGACATGCTACAGGGCAGTGGTAATCAAAACAACATTGTACTGGTATAGAAACAGATGGATAGACCAATGGAACAGAATTGAAACACCAGAAATCAATCCAAACATCTACAGCCAACTCATATTTGATCAAGGATCCAAAACCAATCCTTGTAGTAAGGACAGTCTATTTAATAAATGATGCTGGGAAAACTGGATTTCTATGTTCAGAAGCATGAAGCAAGATGTCTACCTTACACCTTACACAAAAAGCACTCAACATCGATTAAAGACCTACATCTATGACCTAACACCATCAAACTATTAGAGAACATTGGAGAAACCCTGCAAAGACTTCTTGAATAAGACACCAGAAGCACAGGCAGTCAAAGCCAAAATTAACATTTGGGATTGAATCAAATTGAGAAGTTTCTGTACTGCAAAAGAAACAGTCAGGAAAGTGAAGAGACAACCAGCAGAATGGGAAAAATATTTTTAAATTATGCAACAGATAAAGGATTAATAACCAGAATCTACAAAGAGATCAAGAAACTCCACAACATTAAAACAAACAACGCACTCAAGAGATGAGCCAAGGACCTCAATAGACATTTTTCAAAAGAGGAAATCCAAATGGCCAACAGGCACATGAAAAAATGTTCAGGATCACTAGCCATCAGGGAAATGCAAAGCAAAACCACAATGAGGTTTCACCTCACTCCGGTGAGAATGGCTCACATGCAGAAATCTACCAACAACAGATGCTGGAGAGGATGTGGGAGAAAAGGGACACTAACCCACTGTTGGTGGAAATGCAAACTGGTTAAGCCACTCTGGAAGTCAGTCTGGAGATTCCTCAGAAACCTGAAGATAACCCTACCATACAACCCAGCCATCCCACTCCTTTGAATTTGCCCAAAGGAAATTAAATTGGCAAACAAAAAAGCGGTCTGCACCTTAATGTTTATTGCAGCTCAATTCACAATAGCTAAGACCTGGAATCAACCTAAATGCCCATCAACGGTAGACTGGATAAAGAAATTATGGGATATGTACTCTATAGAATACTATACAACAGTCAAAAACAATGAAATTTGGTCATTTCCAACAAAATGAAGGAATCTGGAAAACATCATGCTGAGTGAAATAAGCCAGTTCCAAAGAGACAGATATCATATGTTCTCCCTGATTGGTGACAACTAACCAAGCACCAAAAAGAAAACCTGTTGAAGTGAAAGGGTCGCTATGAGAAACAGTGACTTGATCAGCCCTTGTCCTGTCTGTTGATGTACAATGTAATATTTTATCCCTTTTAGTATTTATTTTGTTCTACTTAATACTATTTGTTGAACTCTGTAATTAACACACATTTATTCTTAGGTGTTTAAATTTGACTGAAAAGTGATCTCTGTTAAATATAAGAGTGGGAATAAGAGAGGGAGGAGATGTACAATTTGGGACATGCTCAAGCTGACTTGCCCCAAATATAGAGTTAGAAACATGCCATTGTATTCCAATTCAATCCCATCAAGGTGGCATGTATAAATGCCATCTCACTAGTCCAAGTGATCAATTTCAGTTCACAATTGATCACACTGATAGGTCTAAGACTCAAAGGCATCACATAAACAAGACTAGTGTCTGCTAATACCATCTGATAGAATTAAAAAGGGAGAGAACGATCAAACATGGGAAGTGGGATACACAGCAGACTCATGCAATAGCAGATGTCCTTAATAGTACTCTGGCCTCAGAACCAGCCCTTAAGGCATTTGGATATGGCTGAAGAGCCCATGAGAGTATTTTAGGAATGGAAAGCCAAGACACTCTGGCAAAAAAAAAAAAAAAAAAAAAAAAAAAACTAAATCTGTGCAAGTGAAATCTCAGTAGAACGAAGTGGCCATCAAAGAAGGAGGTAGGAGGTACCTTTCTCTGAAGGGAGGAGTGAACTTCCACTTTGACTATGACCTTGTCTAAATATGATCAGAGTCGGTGAACTCAAAAGGTTTCCATAGCCTTGGCACCTCATGACAAGAGCCTAGGGAGATTACTGATGCCATAAACAAGAGTTTCAAATTGTTAAGTCAACAACAGTAGTCACTGTGTACTTACTTCTTATGTGGGATCTGTCCTTAATGTGTTGTTCTATGTGAATTAATGTTATAAGTAGTACTCAAACAGTATGTTACACTTTGTGTTTCTGTGTGGGTGCAAACTGTTGAAATCATTACTTAATATATACTAAATTTAATTTATGTTTTATATTATCCATAATTTAAAACATTTATTACTGTATATGGAGATAATTGAAAATTAGTCTTGATGTTAATGGAATGGGAGAGGGAGCAGGAGATGGGGGGTTGCGGGTGGGAGGGAAGTTATTGGGGGGAAAAAGCCTTGTAATCCATAAGCTGTACTTTGGAAATTTATATTTATTAAATAAATGTTAAAAATACTTTTGTGTAGGTTTATTATCTTTCAACAATTTTCTTTGGTTTTTGACAGGGATTCTCTCTCTAGACAGAGAGAGAAAAAAGAGAAAGAGGCAGAGAAACGGAGTGCTTCCCTCCACTGGTTTACTCCCCAAATACCTGCAATGGCCAAAGATGGACCAGGACCAATACCCGGAAATGAGACTATAATCCAGGTAAGTCAAATGGAGGACAGGAACCCAATTACTTGAGACATCATGGTTGCTTCCCATGGTCTGCAACAGCAGGAAACTGGAGTCAGAAGCTGGAGCCAGAAATAGAAAAATCCAGGTACTCTGCTTGTGGAATGTAAGTAATTAACCACTAGAATAAACATCTATTTGGGTAGATTTAAACGTACTTCAAGATAAGAAAAAAACTGATGCTGAAAAAACTCAAACAATTTTAATCTTGGATCAAATATTAATAGGTGGATTGGGTCTCCATCTTCTTATGTTTCCAAAGCTCTTTCTACTATTTACAATAACTGAGAAATGGAAATAACTAAAGTTTTCATCATATAATGAATGGATAACAAAATTGTTCTGCATATACACAATAAAATACTACTCAGGCAGAAAAAAATGATGGAATCTTGTCATTTGCAACAAAGCGGACAGAGCTTAGGGGTCATTCTGTTAAGTAAAATAAGACAAACACAGAAAGACAAGTACTGCATGATCAGTCATGTGGATTCTCAAAAAAAATTGACCTCATATGAGCAGGAAAGGGGAGGGTTGCGGGTGGGAGGGAAGTCACTGGGGGGTGGGGGGAAGCCAATGTAATCCATAAGCTGTACTTTGGAAATCTATATTCATTAAATAAAAGTTAAAAAAATTGACCTCATGTAAGTTAAGAGTAGAATGGTGGTATTCTCCCACAGGTTGGTAGAATACGGGTGGGAACAGATTGAGTAATGGGTACTAAGTTACACTTAAGTAGGAATAAGAAGTTCTGGAGTTCTATTGCACAGCAGGATAACTGTAGCTAATGATGATGTACTGCTTATCTCTAAGAGAAATCTAGAGAGGGAATTTTGAATATTTTCCTAATAAAGATATTTTAAATGTTTGAAGGGATAGGAATGCTTACCCAAGTTGGACATTACATACTATATACTTATGTTAAAATACCACATGCTACCTCATAAATATGTATAATTTTATGTCAGTCAAAATTTAAAAATTAAAAATAAATCAAGTCTTTCTTCTCTATGCCACATTGTTTCCTAAAAGTAATAAATGTTTTAAATTATGGATAATATAAAACATAAATTAAAATAGGCTATCAAAATCAATTTCATTTACTATCAAAATGAGTTAAATGGTTGTAACTACATGTGTGTTTAATGTGTAACACTAACATAATTTTGAACTATTCATATGTATGGATGTCAGATATATGTGAATTTAAACCTTAGCCTGCTATAGCATGAAATATTTAAATTGCCCTTAAAATTTCAACAAATCAGCAAAATGGAATCAGAACATGATAAAAAGCTTTTTTTTTAAACAGCCATAGCTTTATATTTACTGTATATTTTTGTCAAGATTTATTTATTTACTTGGAAGTCCGAGTTACAGAGAGAGAGGAAGAGAAAGAGAGAAAGAGAGAGATCTTCCATTGCTGGTCTAATCTTCAAATGACTGCAATGGCCAAGGCTAGACCAGGCTAAAGCCAGGGGCCAGGAACTTCTTCCAGGTTTCCCAAGTGGATGGCAGGGGCCCAAACACCTGGGAAACCTTCCACTGCTTTTCCCAGGCTATTAGCAGGAAGCTGAATCAGAAGTGGAGCAGCTGGGACAAAAACTGGTGTCCTTATGGGATGCCTGCATTGCTGGCAGAGGTTTTACCTACTATGCCACAATGCTGACACCTTTAATACTTATTTCCACAACCATGAGTACCTGAATTTATTTTAAAGACACCACAATTATTAAAATTAAACATTTTAATGGATAAAATAAATACTTGAAAATTAAATACAGTGTAAGAAATTTGAATAATTTAAATCATTTCTGTATACTACCACCTTAATTGGATTCAAAACCAGAAGATTTGGTCATAATACTTACTGTCATAAGCAAAATAAATGAGCTGGGAGAGTTTCTTAGTCTGTTTGAACCTCACCTTCTTTATCTGTAAAACTGATGGCTCAAACTGAATGATCTCTTTCAGCCCTAGTGATTTCATGAGTTTAAAAAAAAATCTGTGCAGGTACTTGGAAAAATAAACCAATAGCCTATTAGATTAATAGTACCCTATTAGTTTCATAAGTCAAAAATGTATTCCTATTGTTAGCACATATTGAAATTAAGGATCTTAGCCCTTATCATTGAATAGGTTAAAATGTTTAATTAATTTTATGTACACTTAAATGTGTCATCATTTATGCATTTATTTATGTAATCTGTAGATTATAATCAGGTGTTTAAATAACATGAAAGTTATGTCTAAATATCAAAAATATGTTTAGAGAATTTCTCTTAAGATAAACTGATTTTATTTTAAAGTTACAAATATAATTTATTTGTGACATAAAAATAATTATTCATTGTGGTAATATAGAAATTATAGCAAAAGTAAAATATCTTCCACAATCCCATCACCTGTGGAAAATTATTACTTATCTATGCCTATATTTACTTACATGTTTCATGGTTCCTTGTTGAGGAAAATGATGAATTGCTGTATATATTATTTTATAATTTACCACTTCTATTTTAATAAAACATTATGATTTTCTTTCCATGTCATATATGTTAACTACTGGAGTCCTCTACTTGGTTTTCAGGAACAATTACTAATTTTCCTATGCTTCCTGGAGGGCCAGTCTTAGAAAGCTCTGATTCCTTCAGTAAAATAGAGACCTAGATTTAGAGCAAGAAAATATACCATCTTTCCTCAACTTGCCTGCTGTGATCTGAATGTATCTCTCCAAAATTCATTTGTTGAAACCTAACCCCCTGGTGATGAATGTGGGCCTTTGGGAAGTGATTAGTTCATGAGCAACCTGAAAAATGGGATTAATGAATGTCCCTATAAAAGAAAAGACTGGAGAAAGGACTCGACTCTTTGCCCTCTCTGCCATTTGAAAAGGCAGCCAAAAGATGGCTTTCCATGAGATAACAGGTGGGAAGATGCACTTTTATGACTTGGGAAATGGGCTCTCACCAGACATCAAATATGTAAGCACTTGGTCTTGAATGTCCAAGCCTCCAGGGTTTTGAGAAAGAAATACCTGTTGCTTATAAACTGTTCAATTTATAGATAGCAGGCTGAAGTGATTAAAACATGTGGAAGACCCAGAAGAAGCTCCAGGCTCCTGGCTTCAAATTGGCGTAGCTCCGGCTGTTGTGGCCATCTGGGGAGTGAACCAGTGGATGGAAGACCTCTCTATGTCTCTACTTCTCTCTGTAACTCTGTCTTTCAAATAAATAAAATAAATATTTAAAAAAACACAACAGTATCCTAGCCTTTTCTTTGACTTCTCTTATACTAGGGCTTTCTGATTGCAGACAAATAGGAAATTTAACTTTCTACAGAGAAGTATATGCTTATGGACTTAAGAAATTATTTACCTCTCTCTCTTTCTCGCTCTCTCTGCCTGTCCTTCTCTGGGTAACTGACTTTCAAATAAATAAGTAAATCTTTTAAAAATTATCTAAGAATATCAAAGAGCTACATAGCCTGAAAACTTTTTACATTTGGGATTTCCAAAGTCAGCCCTCTGGAGCCCTGCACAGTACTCATACACTGCTGGCTGAATAATAGGTATTCCAGAGCTATTAGCATATGCTTTGGGTATTGTCAAAGCTGTTAAATGATACTGCTTATAAATTAAAATCATGTACAGTGAAACTGCGAATGGCTCATAAAAATAAATTAATTAAAATCATGTGCAAAATAGTATAGCACACAACTATCTTTTCTGTTGTGTGCGTGTGTGTGAACAGGGCTTAAAAATCAGTGTTTATGCACATCAATGAGCTTAACCTCAAGTTTTTTTCATCTCTGCTAGACAATTCCTAGCAACAAAGGTCCTTTAAAAGTTCATGGAAAATATATACTATGAAAAAAGTATGCATAGATTACAAAGTTTTTTGTGTCAAAACACAGTTATCTTTTAATTCAGTTTTCCCATAATCTTTCTGAAATACACTCATAATTTTCAAATATGATTATGAATTATATTTCTAGTATTATTCATCTAGTCTCCAACATATCTGTTAACTATATGGGAATTTTTATCAACACAACATTTGGAGCTTTAAGTTGAGAAGGAAATATATTCAGATACATACACATATACATATACATATATATCCAGATGCTGAAAATTATGGAGAATTTATAAATGTTTTTGAAATATTGTTTTCAAAGCAAAAGGTAAAGAAAATTGAAATATTTGTGAGGTATATCTTTTATTAAGTTACAGTCATTGAGCAAATCACATGTATTTGTAATATGTAAATATCACTCAATACCTGAAAAAAAATTAGTTTGATAAAATCAAAATAAAGTGTGTGTGTGTATGTGTGTGTGTGTTTGTGTGTGTGTGTGTGTGTGTGTATACATATAAATAAAAGTATTGGGTGTATGGGGCTGGCGTTGTGGCGTAGCGAGTAAAGCCACTGCCTGCAGTGCCAGTATCCTATAAGGGTGCCGTTTTGAGTCCTGGCTGCTCCATTTCCAATCCAGCTCTCTGCTATGGCCTGAGTAAGCAGTAGAAGATGGCCCTAGTCCTTGGGCCCCTGCACTCACGTGGCAGACCCGGAAGAAGCTTCTGGCTCCTGCCTTTGGATCAGCACAGCTCTGGCCATTATGGCCATCTGGGGAGTGAACCAGCGGATGGAAGACCTCCCTCTCTCTCTCTGCCTCTCCTTCTCTCAGGTGTGTAACTCTGACTTTCAAGTAAATGAATAAATCTTTAACAAAAATAAATAGTGTGTGTGTGTGTGTGTGTGTGTGTATGAGAGAGAGAAAGTATATATTAAATTGAGAAGAGGTCTATTATAAAATCTTATGCTGTTAGATAGAATATCATATTTGGAAGAAACCAACATACAAGTACTGCGTCATTAGTGTGATTTTGGGTTGTAAACAAGAAAGAGCATAAGAGAGATGTTAACCATAAGTGAAAAGTTTCTCCTCATGAATGGAGTCTTCTTTCAAAA